GTACTAGTTGTTTCTGAAAAAAAAAAAAGCTCATTTTTGTTTCCTTTTTGGTATAAAATTTGACACTTTCAAACGTTTGGTAATTACAGCATTACTGATGAGTCTCAGAAAGAAAACCTTGGAATTATTGTGCAGTATAAAGTGAAAGTGCGACTCATTGTTGCATATGGAGGGTGAGTATACTACAAATGGTACAGTAACAAACTACTGAAATTTAAAGTACCGTTATAGCTCTAATGAAGATAGTTTATACAGTGGTGTAGTAATAGCCTGTAATGTTGTTATGACTTTGTTGTACTTTTCCTGCCAACATTTTAGTGAAACATTTTGTAGATTTTTGTGTATTTTTCTACAAAATCTTTTTCAATTTTGGATCAGATGTTTATAATTCGTCATTTCCAACAGCTATTTATTGAATTTTTTGAAAAAATATGAAAAACATTACATGGGTTAACGTTGTGAAAAGTGACAAAAGTTTGACATTCAAAGGGTTAAAGGGTAAAGTTATGTATATTTCTACATAAGATGGCCAAATAAGTTGACAGTTTTGTCAGTAAGGAGATGGGGATACAGGGGTCATTCACCTTATACATTAAATCTTAATCACCAAGCTAATTGATAATTGGGATTAATCATCCAATGTCTTGTAGTTTTAATTATTAAAACTATCATTTTTGCTCTATTAGTGATGCACATAGTTTTAAAGTTTAATAAATGCCAGATATCTAACTCCTGCAGCACTGTAACACATCCAATAGCTTTGTCATATTATGTCTCTGTAATTATGGAAGGGTTTGAATCAAAACTATGAAATATGTAACCAATTCCAATTCAAGAATCCTTCTCTTGTTGACTTGAGATCTCTGGCTCATTCAGAATAATATGAATTATACAGCAGCTTTTAATGTGGTTGGTTAATTTGAAGTAATTGTTAGTTTCATCTGATCACAATCTAACACACTATGAGGCACAATCATCTATTAAAGCTATATTATTTATTATATATTATTTTGTTTGACAGGGATTTGGCTGTTGAACTGCCATTTACACTGACCCATCCTAAGCCACCAGAGAGCCCACCACCAAGCCGCCCAGAGAGTACACAACCTGGTAAGTCAATGGAGAAAACAAATATCTCAGTTGTACGTAATTAATAAATTGTTCATGCAAACAAACAGACAAATATTACAACATGAAACACAGCATTGTAGTTAATTTGATGTTCAAACTGGCAAAATATTGTGAAACATAAATCTGTATTGCATATGGTCATTGTCCTTTTCATAAGTCGGGAGCCCTCACAGTTTGCTGTGGGAGAACTCAGAAAGAAACTTTTTTTCCAAAGGTAAGAAACACTTTGAAATTCTTGTTTCTTTTTAATTTAACCCGTCAATGTGTTCAAGCATGATGTTTTCCGTGTATTGGAGATGTTTTTCATGGTAGATTAATGTTTACTCGGAAATTCTGAAAACTAGCAACTAGGTGAAACATTAATTTACCATGGAAAACCAATGTAATGAAACAACAACATCCAAATCGAACAAACTGATGGGTAAATTAAAAAGAAACAAGAAATATAAAGTGTTTCTTATCTTTGGAATTTCAGTTTCCTATGTCTGTGCATACGCAAACACATGGCTTTACCTACAAACCTATTTCAGAGTTCCCTGAAATGAACTGTGAGGGCTCCTGACTTATGAAAAGGATCTGTCCATAACAGATGGTCTATCATTTTTTGTCATCACAAAGCTTGCAAGACATTTATCCAATCAGTCATTGTAGAGAGTGTTTTCTGAAGTGTATGAAGTGTAGAATACAGATTTATGAAATAAACCCTTATACACATTGTAATTGTTAACAAAAACGTTTGTATACTTTTGCTTGCAGGAAATGAGGCTGATATCCCAGTTGATACCAATCTGATTAGCTTTGACACTAAGTAAGTTGTCTATCTTTTAGTTTTTCATATTGTGATATTTTTTATCCAGGTTTGTTCATCTACTTTGCTTTATTTATGTTGTTTGTTTTGTTTGAAGTACTGCTTTCAATATTTTGGGCTCTGCATCCCCTCCTCTTCCTATGCTTTTTTTGTACCTCATTCAGCAGTATGAATTAATTACCCATAATACATTGAGACTGTGGTAGCGATTCATTACATGTCTACTAGTAGGAGGATCAGAAGAGATGAGAAAAGTTGGAATTGCTTCTCAAAATTCTTTCCATGAACTTTTCAATTCTTTGATGTTGTAACACTTGCACTTTGTTTATGCCAAATACACATTCAAAACTTCTGGTTCTTGGAGACTTACAAAATGATGGAGACTTGCATTTCTGTCATCCATATACACGCTAGCCTTGAAGCCTATAGCTCTGAGTGGTGTGGTCATCCGGTAAGATCAATTAATTAGCATGGGAGTCTGATCTGCTGATGGATTTCTCAGATCTCAAGTTCAACTTGATCACCAGCATATGCTAATGAACACATGTTTATCAAAGTGGTATGCCTCTCGTCAGCACCACAGTAATAGCAAGAAGTGCTGTTCTGCCATAGTTACTGCATATGTGTATATTAGTATACCGTATTTGCTCTATTAGTTATACATGTACTTATGTAATGGACATAGGTATGTCTATGGTCAAAGTAAGTCATGTACAATAACGGGCAGTTTGTAATGTGTGTTTCTATTGGAGAAGCACTTTTAATAGAGCAAACACGGTATATATGGTAAGTGTAGCATACCCATAATTCATTACTTTGAGGTTGTTGACTTGTATGATTTAAATACTTGTATATGTTTGTTTCTGTCTGAAACATTGATTTACAAATACCTGTGATACATTATAGAAAACAAATGTGGACAGGAAAACTCTCCCTAATGATTTTTCTTGCAACTTCGTAATATACGTTGAAACAGTTGTTTGTTCTAACTTTACTAAAACCATTTGAAATGAATAACACTTCCATGTTTTAACAAGGGTGCTCGAATTGGAAATATTATGCCTGTGATCTTATAATAATTTAAAATGCAGAACATTTCTTGTTTATTGAGAGACAGTAGTATAACTTTGTCAATCAGTGTACAAAATATATTTATTTAGGACTTTTCGATCTTGTATCCAACATTGCTATGATAGAATAATCACAAGTTATTTTAATGGTTAGAGTTTGATGAAGTGATGTTAGAATGAACATATTCTGTTGATATTCAAAACACTTGTAATATAAATATTGATGTCTCATGATATTCAACATCATCAGCCAATATTGAACTTCCTTTCATGGCGTAACATGTAGGTTGTGTGGAAATACAAGTATACACTGGATATATGTATAGTGTCAAGCATTGTTGTTGTGTTTGATACCCGGTCAAAAACATCAAAACAACCAGTGCTGGAGAACTGCATTGTTGCAAGGAAAACCGTTAGGGGAATTGTGGTTTTCATGGCCACAGTTTTCCAGTGTTACCATAACCCTTTGAACATCATAATTTTTTTCAGCGAATTTTTTTATTTCTGAAATTTTCTTTATTTGTTTTTGGTGATGAAAATAATATTTGGCAAAAAACTTGTGAGTTCAAAAGGTTAATGAATTACAAACAGTGTATGATTGATTATTTGAGGGACATACTTTTTGCTGATTTTCTTATTGCACTTGACTTTGTTTTCTTTATGCTTTCAGTGCATGTCTTTTGCTTGCATTCAACACAAGGGTCCTTAGTGAAGCTGCCATTAAAACACAAATATCATACAACGTCAATTTATCAAATAATTTCACCCTGTATAAAGTGTAGGATTATTGATAATGCAAGTGGATTGTTTTAATTCACATTATAACTTCCCACATTGTACTAATGAGCTTGAACCTCTAGCTGCATGTCTGTAGATGTTCGTATCTATGTATTGGCATGCAGTTCTGCATAGTGTTTATTTCGTCATGTACGAAACCCAACAAAACTTATTCTTTCGTTATAATTTTAACCTTAGCCACATTCCTTCAAAAGTTCCAACTTTGCACATGATCAAAAATATAGAGCAGAGCATAACGCTTTACTCCTGTGTTTTCATTGCAATATCACTATAGAGAAGGTCAGGACCCCAACAGTAGAGGTGCCAAATATTGTGTTGGCAAGGTGATGCATGGAAACAGGTATTAATTAGTTGTCCTGTTTGGTGTTGTTTTATCTGGTTGTGTGTGTCTATATATGATTTGTATTCACTTTGTTGCATGTAACATCTACTGTTTCATCACCTATAAATCACCTATAGGACAAATGTACTGTAGGAGTATTAATTTCCACTATTTTGATATTTCACTTGGTTTTAACATAAATTCACAGATTATTCAGTCAAATAATGAGTTCTACCATATTTGCTTTATTAGTAGTACATGCCTTTATGTAAATGACACCGTGATGCAGCATACAATAAATGCATTATATTATATTATATTATATTATATTATATTATATTATATTATATTATATTATATTATATTATATTATATTATATTATATTATATTATATTATATTATATGTATGAATATATATATTCTATTTGAGGTGAATTTCTAATGATAAGAATATATTTTGCTAAACTAGTTGCTGAATAGATGCAACACTAGAGGCAAGACCATAGCAATACAAACTCAGCTTTTATGCAACTGAAAGTGTGACAATGGAGACTTGCACATCACTCAATCTACAGCTGTTGACTTCAGCTGGTAAAATTAAACATTGATTTGAATATGGGTTTTACCCTTCATGCCTGATATTGCTTAGCAACCAAGGGTTGAACTATTGATTAAAAAGTCTGAGATTCAATTAAAATATACAGGTACCCCACTCTTATCTAGATTAGAAATATGTAACTATGTAAACTTATAGTGGTAGTAATTTGTTGACATAAACTTATTTTGAATATCTTTCCATATTTTTGATTTTTTGTATGTATGGTTGCTTCTGAAATTTGAGATGCTGTCTCTGAGTGTTGTTGAATTGATAAACTAGCTAAATGTGTTTTACAGCTCAGATTTTTCAGACATTTTTGGGTGACTTGTCACACATCACATTATCATAGCTTCTCTACAAAAACAGTCTGTCATATTACACAATTTGAATATCTTGGAAATTTGAAATGGGCGCACTAAACTTGAAATAAATGGCAGATCTTATAAGTGATCTTCAAAAGCTATACCATGATAATTTATATTTCACTGTCTCTTTAATATTGAGATACATTATTGGCAAACCTACTTTCTAAATCCCAGGAAGTATTATTATACTTACAAGTCGGGGTTGTAATTACCTTACAAACCTGGAACCATGCCTGTGTCTTTTCTTGGTTGCTTTAACTACATCTGACCCATTGCATTTAACAGGAAAGTTTGCTTCTGATTACCAGGTAGTCAGCATTGGGTCCTGATCGTCATCATAAATCTAACCTCACTGCTTGCAAATGCATGATGCATGATTGTTGCACTATATTAGTTGTATGTACATAATTCCAATATAATTATTGTACATTTAATTAAAAAAAGCTTACAATTCATTATATCAATGCACATGTTCAAACCTGTGACATTGTGATGTTCTTTAAACATCAATGTGATTGTCTTTGTCAACTTAGTTTTAATTATAGTTGACCATCCCTATGCATGTTGTGTTTTGGGTCATTCAATGTTTTAATGACTAACAAATGTAGACAGCCTGTTCCTAAACTACATTCTACTGTGCACGACTTAAAAACATGTGACAACTCTTTCCATTGGTCATTCAGTATCATGTGGTAAGACAATATGCTAATGAGCATATACTTTGCACGCATACTCAGTCCAACACAAGTTTGTTGTCATAGCATTACATGATGAATAAGGAGAAATATTTAGATTTATTATGAATGTGAGATGGCAAGATTAAAGTTGTCATTGAAAATAACCTGTGACTGACAGTAACAAGGCTTATGCCTATTTACTCCACTGTTTTCTTTATTTTAAAAATCTGAAAAATATTTGAAACCATTGTGTGTATTTTTCTCTGTAGTGGTGAAGCCAACCAATTCCCAGATCGTGACGATGATTTCATCTTTGAGGAGTTTGCTCGTCTACGAGTGAAGGGAGCAGAAGGAGATGAGGCTGAAGCTTAAAATGGAATTATCATAAATTATATCATAATTGTAGGCATCAAATCTTAAATGTTTAAAAGAAAAAAAAAATCAGGCATCATATGTTTTACCGTCTTTACTGAAAAGTCGCACACGATTGTAACTATTGATTTTAGTGATAAAAATATGTTTTAATTATAATATCTATTTTTTGGTGATGGTTATTATGGTCACACAGCCTTATTGTAGCGAATTGATATACTCCCAATATACTAATACCTTACTGATACAAGCAAGGGATGTGCAGATATCCAGGGGAGGGGGGGGCATTTTTTTTTTAAATCACTTCTGGAAGTGTTAAATTATCACACTTACGTTGCCATGACAATGCCTTTTTTAAAAGTGGCAATTACATATAAATAGAATATATGTCAAAATATCAAAATATATAACCTGCTCTTTTTAATATTCATGTAGTGTTGAAAGTTGTCTGTGAATTAAATTATGTGTATGTTTCAAAAACAATAATTTAAAAAAAACCCTTACATATCTATTCTTGTACTTTGTAGTTTTTATTGTGTATCTATTTAATTTATAGTAGTGTTTGGAGTCAAGCCAAACAAAAAAAATTAACTGAGCACACTGTTTTTTGGGGGGATCACATATTCTACTATAAAGATGTATTTGTAATTTTTGTGTTATAGAGATTGTATATTTCAGTCACATGACAGGTACTTCAATGTATGTACCTGTTTGCATCCAATTATATCACCACTAAGATCTTTGTGATCCTCAATTATATGGAATGTGTTGTCATGGTTACAAGCCGATTGGTTTCTTGGTATCTTTGTACATGCATTCTCTGTTGGTGTTAATAAGTGAGCTGTATTGTGATAGCTGCCAAATGGGACCATGCTGTATGCTTTCCACAAAACTGCAAATTACGATCTTCACAAAACCCATGCGTCTTTAGAGAAGGAAATTTCTTCAGCATAGTTGTGTTGAAACTTTATTAATACATTTAAAAAAAAAAAAAATTTATTGTAGTTTTAAACACAACTTTAGTTGCACATTCTTTCTTTTTTAATTTTTTTCTTGTTGCCAAAAATGTATATTTTACTATACTTTTTAAGTGACTTTTTACAATGATTGTATGTATCTAGTGATGCATTGTATGTACATTTAGCTGCACCATGACTGAGGCACACTTTGCCACATAATTACTTATTGTTGGGGTTTGTTTACTGTTTAATTAAGAAACAAGCATATTATTTATAAGCAGCTTTGTTAACTTTACAAGTCGTTCTGTGTTGAGATCTGTACATGTTTCGTGCTTGTATTGAAAACTAGTTTATCCAGTGAGCTAGTGTCTGTTTTCTGGATGCAGTGGCAATAGATTCAAAATACTTAATAATAATGTTTCAAATTTGTACATAAAAATCTCTAGTGTTAAGATGATCTATGTACATACAAATAAAAGTGCCATTTAGTGTGCTGCAATAGCTGCTAAATTATCACAACACATTTGGAAGTTCACATTGTCCTCTATCGACAGTTCCAGTATTTACTCTGATATGACCAGCTATACAACCTATTGTTGAGTCATACCAGTACATTACATGTATTTGATGGTTTCTATTGTTCGCAGGTTACAAACAATTATGAAATTGCCTTCATTAACTGTATGTCAAAGTTGAGTAGCTTGTAAATGAAAATTTCAGTTTGACAAGCAATCGTTTCTTCAAATCACATGACTATCACATTGTGTCAGTATTACTGTATATTGCATACTGCTTTGATATGTCATGGTTTTCTTGGAATTTGCGTCATATTGTCTTTTGCCAAAATTATTTACCATATTTGTTTTATTTTGCTTTTGGGTTTATGTCTGCTTCTATCAGAGCAAATTCGGTATAGTGGTTGTTGAGTTGTGTGATCAGTCTATTCAGAGTTCACCTACTCGCACTTAAAGTTTCACAGTCCTGTCAGATTTGACATTGGTTTCATGGAACATAACACCTTTACAAATTATATTGTTGACATCAAATTGGAATGTGCGATTTAATGTTTTTCGTTATATTGCCTTTTAAGCACTTGCCAACGAAAAGGTATCCAAAACTGTGAAATCTGATATTGTGTTGTAAATAATGTTTCTAGTGTCTTTTTATTACAAAATTGCCAACATTTGTTTTGTTTTTTCTCAGAACCTTTTGCTAACGTGCTGTGCCACCAATGTTTTTTGTTCTTTTTTTTTCACCATGGAAAACTGAATACTTTGTTGGAAAGATTAAATTAAACTTGTGCAGTGAGTTGAAGATCATGTTAATGATTAACAGATTCCTTCAGGGGGACACAGGAAATATACAAAAAAGAGGGCAATTGCTACAATGTAGCATTTGTAGTGGGTATTTGTGTTCACTTAGTAATGTACGTGTACATGCACATTGGTCACCAATAAAATTTCTTGTAACTATATTCATCGTTATTTGTCATGTTTTCAGATTCTTTGCGAGTATGTATATTTATGTGTGATGTCATAATGATGTTCCACTGATGCAGCAATCGCTGTCTTCAATCTTTCAGCTTCACTGCCTCTGATACAATAATAATAAAATACTTTATTGAAATTATATCCTCATTTTTGGTCTAGATTAAAGGGCGGCAGTCTGTTCGATATGGGACTCATAGCGACGTATACAACGCGTGTAAAATACATTGTTTATTTACATGAAATTCGAACACGCGCTGCGCGACGAACACCACACTTTAACAACAAAAATTGAGGGTAAAAAAAGAATATACGAAGAATTTACTGATTTTCATTAGATTATCATTTGTTTTATGACGCAGTAGTTGTTGTGTATCTACCTGCTTAAATTTTAAGATCTCAATTTAAAGCAGCTCTATGTAATGATTTGTTACCAATAACAACTGAGGTATTTTTCCCATTTATTTTTTTTAAATCCATGCAATAAAAATTAGGGTAAAATAAAAAAAATGTAGACCTTTAAAAACATTGATTAATCGTGAGCTCCTTCATAGAATAACTTTCATTTGATAACCCACAGTGTAGAATCGTATTAATTTTCTATTTTCTTCAGCTTCCAATTATCAGTAGTCTGAATCCACAGTCAGCTGGCGCACACGTGATAATAAAATAAATACGATATTTACTATATGGGGGGCGCCATCTTGAATGCAAGGGATTTTTCCACACAAAACCACGAGTTAGGCCGAATTTTGTTATCGGTTGGCTTAATATGACCCCAATGGACCGTATTTTTGTGAAAGATTGGTATTTTTGTCCTGATTT